TCGAGGATCATGGCATTCTCGTGTAAACTCCTTTTCAACCGGTAAAACTCGGGATAAATTGTTCAATTTGACTATTATAATTAGCGGCGATAATAAAGAGCATTGACCCGTATTCCACCATGACAGGCCCATGTCAGTTGTTACAAGTTTTAGCGAAGGACTGATCACTTTTCAAAGGAGCATTGCTATAGAAGATATTTTGTTTTCATAAATGTCACGCATTAGTGACCGTTTAGATCCACATTAGGTAATTATAGGACGTTACCAAGTCTTAAACCCTCCGATAAAAAACCTTTCCTTCTCGAATCCCTCCGTGGCGACGATGAGAGATGAGAACTCGGGGCTTTTTTTACAAAAACTTTGAAGGTTATAAAAATGTGTCCGATGGGCGCAAACATTGCTTTTCTGATATCACTCGCACTTGTTAAGAATACTTGATCTATGGCTAGAAAGTTGAGAGGAATTAAGTTTTGAGTACATCACATAATGAGAATCATTACAGCTAGCTTGAACCCACAAAGGGCGTTACCATAAGCGCTATCGTTCCAAGCTGCTAAAATAAAAATGGATCTAAAAAGATATGAAAAGCAATGTTTAGAAGAATTGTCGTTGAAAAAGAATAGTGATTAAATTAACAGCACCTTCAATAATTAAATTTTTTTATCTCCAACTTATGCTGACTCAAAAGCTTTTATTTTCGGACGAGAAAAATCAAGTAATCACTTTGGTGTTATGGACTCAATTCACATGGAATGACTATAAAATGAGATGGGATCCAAAGGAGTATGGTAATATTACGAACATACAGTTACCGAACGATTTTCTGTGGAAACCGGACATATTGCTTTTCAACAGGTTTGCCGTTTATAACATTCTTCCTAACGATTATAACTTTCCGTGCCTGATGTAGCTGCAGTATGATGAACTTGCATAGAAAATACCCCGCAAGCAAAATTATCTGCACTTATTGGTACGAAAATTGTCTAAAACTCATAAACGATGTTCTTTTTTAGCGCAGACGAGCACTTTGATGCATC